CGGTCTTATGCTATGCATATGCAGTTATGTCATTTTGTGTATGATGGCCTTAACTCTTTTACGAACTATCAAATAGTTTATTAATCGATATTACTATAGCAACACGGCAAAGATAAACGGCGCGTAATTTAGGGTACGCAACAATATATATAGGACCTTATTTGTATAGCTTTTTATGAGCTTCATTTTTTGTTTGACAACTTTTTCCGTATAATGAATACTTTCTGAAATAATTAACAAAAACAGTTTTACCTTTGAAGGGGGCTGGGGGCGGAGGGAGCATTTGCACCAAAAATCCATTTGGGAATATTATTTACTAAATAAAATAAGTATTTAGGCTGAATATCAGCCGAATCGGAGGTGATAGCTTTTCGGAAGTCCACCCCCCTTTCTGGAGATCCTGCTGTCTAGGCATGATTTCCAAAAATTATGTTTTATTTTGTAAATTGTTTTAATTAATAACTTTTTAATAAACAACGAGCGTCGGCTGAAACCTTTTAATAATTACTCAGGATTGTGACTTCGACAATATCAAGATTAAAGTCATTGGAACTGCATCTCCTATAATGCATAATTATCATTTCTAATATTTTTTTGTATTATAGTGTCTCAAAAAGAGCGGGACCCTAGAATATCTCGGAGGGGTTGCGTTTCCGAGAAAAATGTTTTAGACAAAAATTGTAGAATATAAAATGATCTATTTAGTGATGTTAGCAGTTTGTCTTTGAATTGCGTCACAAAAATTAGATCAATTACATCGATTTTTTAAAATGGAAATTCCCATTTTTTATTGCATATTCTTGTAACTGATCTCGAGAGCTTTTCAAAACACTATAATAAAGTTTCTTTTCATTAAGAGGATGCTGGAGTGTCAGACGAACTCCGACGCGAAAGCACCATCATTTCGATAGAAATAAAAATGAGAATGACATTATCGGCGTAGCCTACAGACCTACGCCGCGTAGGTCCGTGTGTACGCATTTATTTGTAGTGGTAACTCACTACACTGACGTGTGGTCTGTATACGCGCCATCGAATAGTTTGTAAACAAACGACGCTTGCGCTTGTTCTTCGACTGAAATTTCGTCGCAAGGTTGCAATATAGTGTACGAGACGACATAGGCGTATATAAGGTGTCAAATAAATATGAACTAAATATGACAAAATAATAAATGAAAAATATACATATAATTCTATATATTATATATTATTGAAGAAAAACGTCATATACTTTTCTTATTTTTATCCTTATGTAGTAAATACAAAATAACTAATTAATCAATTAATTAATATATACATATACACATATATTGAATAAATAGTTATCTTTATTTTGTATTTTATATGATAACGACTGAAATAATGAGAGTATATATCGTTTCAGTCATTATATAAAATACAAAATAAAGATAACTGTATTCAATATGTATACGTATGTATTGAATAATTAATTAACTTATTTATTTATTTTGTATTAATTATATGGACGTATTTCTACGCGCAATGGAGTGTGTTCGAACTGGCGAGAAGTGAGATAGAGTCAACTTTGTGGAAAATATAATTTATTTTCTTTGTCAGAGAGATTGTATGTACAGTTTGTGTTTGAGTGTTTAATGCGCCAAAGGCGCGCTCACAGCAATGTATAAGACCGTGAGTTTAGAACAAAAATTGACGGGCGCGGTAAGAGATTACCGGCCGCGTCTTAGTGTACTGAACTGGTCCTAAAAAGGACGGCTCTATTGATGATGCTCGCTGCAGCCCCTTGCCTGGAGTCGGAGGTACTCCGTTCGGAAAATGGTCTTCCGTGTGGCAGCTGCTTTCGGAACAAGCCCTAGGCGGCGAAGTTTGAGTCGCAATAGAGCGGGTCTCCGTCGTGCCTTGCGCTGCGACCGTCTCGACTCTCGATGTAACAGACCGTTCTGCGAATCGAGGAAAGAGAGGTCTCCGTGCTCGTATGTCCCCCGGTACGAGAGTGTCCCTTGGAGGCCGGGTCAACCGCACACAGAATTCTAGGAATTAATTTCCACGGTAGAGTCTGTAGTGGTGACGGCGATGCTGGAGTAATAGCGGGCCGCTTTGGTGAAGAGTACGGCCGAAGCTGGGACTTTGTTTTTCGTTTCTGTGCCTTACGAGGCACTGTGAAAAAACGAAGAGGAAGTTAGCCTCTGGTTACGCTCTTTACTACAAGAGCTATTGCTCAGCTCAAGGGCCCTTAGTTAGAGCTCGCCTTGAAGCGAGTGCGTGAGTAGCTGATCGATTCTCGATCGCGAGAAAGCCTTACACCGCCTGCGCTATCTGGCGGTGTAGCTGTAGGCTTAGCGCTTGGTTGAGGGCCTGCGGCGCGTAGTGGCGCCGCGGCGTACTATGCCGCTTTGATGCAACGGCGTGGCGGTATGCCACCACAAATTACATAAAAATAAAAATAGGGAAAGCATATAACATTTTTGTCCAATTAAATATATATAATAGTATTATATAATATATACATTTTTCAAATAAAATATTTTATCGCATCTAATTTATATCTATTAGACATCGTATAAGTCTATTTCGTCTCGTATGTATATCATCCCACACAGAACATAATATCCAATGGACGTCCATATAATCTCCATAACTCCATACTACATCTATCTCTACGATGGATATTAGATAGGTTTCTATTAGAAATCCATATTATTTCCATGATAAATGACGATATAAATCCATCAT